CTAACCCAAGTAAGGTAGGTGGAGTCAACGTCCATTCCCAGTGCAACAGGTTGGTCCAGGTCGACCTTACTTTAATTTGAGGGGGTGATGGGGTCCCGCATGGAGGCTTGTGTACTTTCATATGGTTTCTTTGGGGCCGGGCGCACATGTTTCAGATTGATCGTCATGGGCACCTCTAATTAGGTAAGTATGCCACAATGACGTCCATTTCACAGGTTCTATGTGGTGTCGGTTTTACCTCTGACACTATTGATGCATAGCATCTTACCGATATCTTCCAAAATACCCTTCCGACCGATCGCTGATATCGACACATTCGTTACATGCGACTGATCAGTCGCATGCGAAGAATGCGACGGATGCGATCGAACTTTTCTCTAATTAAGCAATGGATCCCCAAACGGCCAGGGTCCATTTGGTAACTTATGATGATAATCTGCCTAATGACAAATTTACTATTCGGCAACTATGTAACTTCTGCCGAATAATAAATTTATTATTCGGCAACTATGTAACTTTGCTGAATAATAAATTTATTGGGCAGTCACAATAAGCTGCAGGATAAATATATTTATCGATAAATCATTAATAACACTATTTGAGTTAACACTATGACACTTAGAGTCTGACAATTACCATTTTATTATCTTCTAATACAAAAATTCTCTAGCATACATGAATTTATCTATTTAAGAAGGATTTTGTAACGAATGCATATCTCTTTTCATGAAAGTTGTTGCGATTCTCAAATATGTCCTTATGCATCTCTTCTAATTCATGCTTTTCATATTCATCCAATGACTTTGCTAATTCATCTTGCATACGAATAGCTTGTTTATTTTCAATAAATTTCATTAATTTTGATGTGTCAGCAACAATAGTGTCCATGAATCCCTTAACATTATCTAAAAAAGTTAGTTTAGGGTTCTTTTGCATCAAATTATCAAATAACCCAATTTCATTTGCTTCAATAGCAAGCATTGGATTTGCATTTTCTTTAAGTTGTTTTAGTATAGACATTTCTATACGTTTAGATGTTGTATAAGTATGTAGCTCTGAGCCATATAAACCCATATTCTTGTAATGAGGATTTAAAACAACTCCTGGTTTAGCAAAAGAAAAATCAGTTGCGAGGGCCAAATAAACGCCACCTGCACCAGCATTAGCTTGTACTGCCGCTACTGTTATTATGTCTGTAAGTTTAATAATTTCCTTAACAACTTTATTTATTGCTTTAATATTTTCCCATGCCTCTATGCTTGGATTAGTAGCATGCTGAATAACGTTCAAATTAATACCATTTGACCAATTATTCTCATTACCAGCAAGGATTAACCCTTTAATAGGCATCTTTTGACATTTTTTAATAGCTTTTATAAGCCTTTCACATTGTAAAGTATTCATAGCCCCGTTATAAAAATTGAAATATAATACACCATAGGAATTAAATAACTCAAAACCTATCTCTCGAAAAGTATCGAGAGTTGGTGACATAAGAGTATGTTCATGATCAATTATAGGAATATTTTCAGATAGTTCACCTAACTGTATGGTGGCTGGTAGCTTAAATGGACAAGGTTTTGCTTTTGTTTTTAGAGAACGTAATTGAGAGGCCCAAAATGTACCATCTTTTGTAGAAATACAAATAGCTTCATCTCGTTTTGCAAGAATTCTTCCAGGTTCTACAGCCAAATCTTTATTAATTATTTTTTCATCATGAGCATCATATAAGAACCTCGTGATTTTTTGACTATTAAGATCGATCTCAGCTTTAACTCCAGGTTGACTATCAGCTGCACGTATTTTTCTTAAAATAATTTCAGTAGTATCTGTTTTCCAGTTTATTTGTCTATTATAATGTGTTTGTTTAATGGTTTCATGAAGTCGGCCTTTAACAGAAATATTATTGTAATTTAATAGTTCGGGTTTAAAATCAGATATTTGAAACTTTTCAACACACTCAAGTACCATTTTGGAAGCAATATCAATAACATGAGAATTATATAAATGAGTTTTAGTAACAATATTTGGAACCAAAAAGTTTTCACTTGCCCAAATGGCACCTGCATCCAATTCTTTATCGGCCTCAAGGATAGTGACACCCCATTCATCTTTTTTATCAATAATAGCCCAATCTAATGAGGAAGGACCTCTGTCGCCCTTAATTCCAGGATGGACAATAAGACATTTTACTTTAGTATAGATATCTTCAGGTATGGCTTTCATAAGTGTCGGACAAATGATCAGATCAGGTTTATACTGCAAAAAAGCAGAACGCATCATGTCATCTGAGTTGGCTATTTGAAATGTTACTGAGTGTCCAAGGCGAAGTAATTCATTTTTTATTCTCTGTGTTATACCATTATAAGCAGAAGAGAATAGTAAAAGGTTTAACTTTTTCCTTTCAGTTGCTTTAGCAAAAGATTTTTGATGATTAGCCAAACTAATTTTTTTAACTGTCTCGATTGAATATTTTTCTCTTATTAACTGAGATAGATTTAAATATGGTAATCCTTGTTGCAAAATGCCAGAATTGACAACATTAAAAGCTAATGAATTAACGGTAAGTAAACCAACACCTCCTGGTACTGGTGTGTAATGTTTACATTTTTCATATACTGAATGATTTACATCACCTACAATTTTTGCATTTCCATTAGTAAAGTTTGATGGTATTTTATTAATACCTGCATCAATTACTATAGCACCAGGCTTAACAAAGTCTTCATTTACGTGAAGAGCTCTACCGATAGCAACGATTAAAATATCCGCACTTTTAGTAATTTCTTTTATATTTTCAGTGTGTATATCACAAGTTGTTATAGTAGCATTATATGGAGGACTCATTAGCATGCAAGCAAGTGGTTGTCCTACGAGTTGACCTTTGCCCATAATTACAATATGCCTACCCTCAGTTGGGATGTTATAATAATCGAAAATACTACAAATACCAAGTGGAGTAGCAGGTTTTATGCCTTTATTCAAATCAAATAAATTACCCGTAGAACATAAAGATAATCCATCAATATCTTTATAAATAGGGATTGCATCTAAAATATTATTCTTATTGACTGAAAAATCGGACGGAAATGGTAATTGTACAATAATACCGGTATTGCTAGGATCATTACTTAAATCTTTAATGATTGTTTTAACATGAATTTCATTATATTGTGATGAAATTTTTATTACTTGCATAGGAATACCAAGTTGTTCAAACACTTTACGCTTTTTGGCCACGTAGTTAGCACTATCTATTCTTGCTTTCCCAGCCATGTTTGTTGGTAAGATAATAGTAACTTTAGGTTGAGTATTCAAGATTTTCATTGCCTCTATAGTTGTGCTTTTAATTGCATCGGCAACTAAAAAACAGTCAAGTATTTTGTTGCAATAAGTATTACTTTGTAGCCTTTTTAACATTATGTGGAAATAATAATTTGCTTTATTATCGTTATGACTTATTTTGCTACAAAAGCGGCTATTTATAAATAATTAATATCTGACAAACTCGAATACTCGTACAATCATAAATTTTACTTATTTTTTTCGTGTGTTCATGTCTATTCAAATTAAAACTTAGCCGATAGATACTGTAACTCATAATAATCATAAATTACCGGATAACGATAACGATAATAGAATTATTAGGCGAATTGATAATTTGACTCAGCCCAATAAATGAATGATTGATATATGTAATTTTTGCTCAATAATATATACATATATTTAACGTCTACAAGAAATTGTTCGGTATAAATAGATTACGCAGCCGGGTTACACATTATTTATGTTGTGCCTTTCTTATTTTGTCACTTCGCGCTATTTATCTTGTTTGTTGATATCTTCTTTATTTACTATCTTATCTTTCATTTGCATATACTGTCTATCACAATCATTACCTTATATAGTTACCCAAATACCCATAGCCTTATACAGTATCGGTATGTGTTACGTACATACTTATGTACCCGAACGTCGGTTACGCAAATCACCCAATTGAGTTTTATGCGTGTAGAACTAACACGTAATTTGTGTACGTACTTTATTATTAGACTGTGGAAGAAACGTTGGACATTAAATATGGTCTGATAAGTTAGTGTTACTGCCAAGAAGACGCCATGTAGGGATTACGTGACTGAGAAATGTTACTGGTTGAAGTAGAACGTATGATGCTCCTCAAGAAAACTAATGTGCATCACGTCGAATTTATGAAATTCAGCTAAATTTTGGTTACCGGATTACATATTGTTATGGGTAAATCCGACCCTAGGACCATGAGGAATAAACGTGTAACGACCTCCGATATGCACATGGGAGTTCGCAAATCTGGGCATCTGATTGGATGGTCTTACCTTGTGACTTTGTGTATTGATGATCGTTACCTAAATTTACCGTGCTATAATATTCTCGTTGTGTTATAGTATTTGATTTATTATGTGGCTTTTACATATATTCTATATATATCAGATTATAACTCGTTTTAGTCGTGATTTCATTGGAATTGTCAATTACGTGTTGTGCCTCATAGTATTTTTTATTTTTTTTTTAATATTAGCGCTTGTTTTCCCTTTTGTTGATCTATCCGGTTCGTTATTGCTTGATTTATCTTTGCGTTGATATAAGGCTTGTAATATTGACGCTTGTTTTCCCTTTTGTTGATCTATCGTGTTTCTTTACCATTTATCATTTACGGTTGTTATGCACTCAATTTAGTGCTTGTTTTCCCTTTTGTTGAATTATCCAGCTTGGGCTTGTCGTTATACCGGTTTGACCCGTTTACCATATTTTATTTTACCAGGAACGTAGTGAAACGAAGTGTATGGTTTACAGGCAACATCTGTGTATAAAATCTTGGATCTTGTTGGATGAAGTATTCAAATCTATCATTGGATGTACAGAATATTAGGCGTAGCTTTTTATTCATTAATACGATATTAAAACTTGTGGCTTCAAAATCTAGCACATGTGTGTGTACTGGGTACAATTATACATAAATGTTACTTTTGGTAACAAATTCAAATTCGATAGTAAAAAAAGATATAGTGATAGTATTATTTTCGAATTTGTTCAAAATTTTTTTATTAGTCATGAGCCAAATTTATTTAGTAATGGCTGAGTTTAAGGTTAAATCAAGAATCCTGATTTAACTTGTTTAATGATCGACTCTATGATATCTAAGATAAATTGGTAACTCAAAATTTAGTTTATGAAACTGTCTTCTGCGCAATAACAAAATGTTTTCCTCGGAAATTTTGGTATTACTTAGTCCTCTAATCTTATCATACGGGTAATACCCTAACCATAATCTAATAACGAATGCTTTTTATCGAAAATGTTTTTATTGATTTTGCAGCAAAATCACATGATATGCGAAATTTTAAAACTGATGTTGCTAATGGTGACGTCGTTCGTATCATACTTAGAAATAAGCACGTTCGTAATCTGTGACAGGTTAAGCCACTGATTTCAATCACCGTCCAAATATGCCTTAAATCATGATGAAAAACTATTGTATTTAGCAATTTGAAAAGGCTTATCATTACGAAATTAAGTTGAATATATAAAAATTGATTTGATCGTATTTGGTTATTCTTATTTTTTGCGATTTTATAAATTACCTTTTTTTTTATCTAACATGAATAAAGCCTGCAAATTAAAAGTTTAAATAACCTATCGACTTCTAATAAGACTTACTGTAAAAGAGAACCAACTTTTTTTAATAAAGTTTATAAAAAATAAAATAATATTAGTATGAAAGGTCCTTCAAATGCCTCACAGGTTATACAAATTTGTATATATATTTTTTTATAAAAAACTCATAAAGCGGAATTAAGAAAATGGTTGCGAACGGTATTTTGGGCATCATTTCACTTTTAGTTATTAATTCAAACTGTCAAAATATTACGAACCGTGTTAGATAAATTCAAAGATCAATGTAATGTAACAAAAATAAAATCGCCCAAATATTTTTCTTTATGATTTTAGTCACGACTGTTCAATCAAAAGTGCTGCGAAAATATGAGTTTACGAATAAATGATATGAAAGAAAAGATATTCAGCTCATTGATTTATCTTCATTCAAAAGGTATAATTAAGTAAAAAAAAAAGGTCTTTTAAGTAAAAATGTTTTAAACAATAGCACGGTTAAAGAAACGACATATAGTTTGCTTCGCTTAAAGTAATTATAATATACTAGTGAAATATTTATGTGGTATTGGTTATTTTAATTTATAAAAAACAACTTTAGAATTTATAAGTTCTTACCAGGCGGTGATTGAAATTAGCAGCTTAACCTCATAAGCAGAAGTTTGTCTTATTGGCTAATAAATTCAATTTAACTTACATTATTTATACAGTTTAGAGTATTTTTTAAAAAACGAAAACTAATCATAATAAAATAAAAAAAGGCTGTATAGAATTTTCATTAGAACTGTAGGACTTCATAGCTACAAATAAGTCTAAGTCTCGTCCGTTTAAAAAAGTTAGTATAGTAATACCTTCTCAAAACCCGATAAAATCAACTTTTTACTAAGCTAATTTTTTTAAACGGACGAGAATTAGATCTTATTTTTGGCTATGGAGTCCTACAACTTTAATGAGCCCTTCTATATATATTTTTTTACTTTATTATGGTTGGGTTTCGTTTTTTTAAAAAGTACTCTAAACTGTATAAATAATGTAAAAATTAAATTGAATTTATTAGCCAATCAGACAAACTTCTGTCTATGAAATGATACGTAATTCATAGATTAACGTTAAACCCGAAATACCAGGAACGTAGTACTGAAGAATAAATCGTCAGCAAAATCTTAAAGCTGATTGGATTATACGTTTATACAGATCACCATGACACGTTCAACTACTAACGCTAATGCTAATTTGTCGCTTTAGCCTTTTATAGAGGTCGTCCGATTAGATATTGATCTACATATTGCATAGATCGTATTCTTTGATAAATTAGCCATGATGTAATTAATGAATGCCAAAGAATTGTACCAATCAATTAATACTATATTAAATGATCGTAAATAATAACGATATGCATTATTTAATTGATAGAAATGTTTACGTCACTGTCATTTTGGCTAATTCATTTTTGATATTTTTGTAAACCAGTAACCATAAATGCATCAAAAAAGCAACCCTAACTCAGACAGGGCTTTAATCAACACTGTTTTTTTTATAATGCTTAGTAGTGACAGGAGATATTAGCACAAGATCTTTGTTAATTGGGTTGCGGGATCTGTGCCTAAAATATCAGTGAAAAGACAAAATAAGCAATATCCACATTACATTATAAAACTGATTCTTTTTGTAGCTATATAAAAATCTCAATGGTTTTTCTATACTTAGGAATTATAGAAAAGTTTGGATTACATTATAAGTGTTTTAAAGAAAAACCTCAAACCTAAATTTAAATTTATTATTATTATTTACTAGTCTTAGTTATGATTTGAAACATATATGAGATGTATTGAATTTATATATATTTCTGATTAGAGCTAAATCTAGCAAATAATAATAATAAATTTAAATTTTCAGTTTGAAGTTTTTTATTGACAGTAATTATATAATTTGTGAAATTTATTATTGTTTGAAAATATTTTTGATTAAATTTAATATATTCATAGGCATACTGTAACACTATACAGTATAACTACAAATATCAATATATATAATATACTATAAATACTCTTACTTCTCTATAATTATATTATATAAAATAAATTATATGTAATATAATAGAAAATTAATGCAAAAAAAACATATTATCAACAATATACAAAATACAAGAATTTAACTTTTTGTTTAAATTAAAGAGAAAATACAATTAAAATTGCATAGTTTCATTAAAAAAATAAATTTTTCTAGTTTTTATATTTTGAAGAATATTTTTCTTAAAAAAAATATATATTGAATTTCTTTTTAAATAAGAAATTTTGAAAACCTTAACAGAATGTTCATATTATAAATATAAGATTTTATATTTTGTCTCACATTATAAAATTTTTGTTTGTATAAATTCTAGAAAAGCAACACATTCTGTTTATATAGACACTATTTTTTATAATAACAAATTGAACTATAATAAGATTATGTTTATTAGATTCCTTTGGTTAGTCAAAACAAGATTTATAACAATTAGATTGTTTACAGGTCATGAAAACAAATAGTAATAAAATTTATTAAATTATTTAGAAATATAATTACAAAAAATTTAACAAAAGAAAATAAAAAAATAAACAATAATATTATTATTATTAAAATAGATCAATTAAAATTCAAAGCAATAAAAATCATTAGATTTTAGAATTTGTAAAAAAAACCAAATTAAGAAAATATTTTTTAAAAATACTGAAAAATTGTAACAAAAATATATTACAAAGATTAATTAAAACACATATGAAGCCTAATTCAAT